TTAGACAGTAGGACGGAAACTATGTTTTTTACTTGAGACGGAAAACACAAGGCATACATAAATATGTGACTGCGTATTCGTATGATGATGATGACGATGGTAAGACAGCTTTGTCTAGCCAGATACTATTTCCGGCAAGGTTTCCTGTCTACAGTCCGTCTATGTGATCCTAGGCCCAAGGTGGCTAAATATATCTGAAATACCTGATATCACCATTCTATTATGACCATTGTTGGAACCAGGAATCAAAAAGGGTTAAAATTTGTTTAAATTTCATGCCTGATAATCAACTCTTTCGTTACTGGGTATGAAAAGGATTGGGATTAATTGTCAATATTGAGGATAATTCTTAGTCGATTATTAATTTAAATTTTATACCTTACCTCATGTCAAATTTGACTCACGTGACATCCTCACCACGAGGTGTTTTAGTATTGATTCATTTTTCATACAAAATAGTTCCAAGAGAGATTAATCATGAAATAAGATGTCTTTATATAGCAATTCATTTAGAAATCTATTCATGCAAAAAGTTTCGAAAAATTTTCAATTATTGATTGTTTTGTCCGAAAAAATTTTCATTTTGTTTTGTACAAACAATAAAGAGGTTCGAATGTGTATGAGAGTTTTTGTTATCATTAAAATAATAATAATAAAATAATTATCGGTTTACAAAATGTGGCAATATTGTTATTACTCGTTGCCCCGTGGTATTTTATAATTGGCAGGAAATTTTACTTCCCAACCGTCTGTAAAACAAAAGAGATTCCTCATTCTGATTCTGATTCTCTTGTCCGCTTCGCTTTCCCTTTCTCAATTTTTTGCCCTTATACCAACCATGGCACCATGAAAGTAGAGCCCGTTTCCGCTTTCCGGACTCGCTCTCCTTTCATAGCTGATCAACATGCTTTAAAGTTCATGGGAAATCATCACAGTTTATTCCATTTAATAATAACGGTTGTTTCGTACTGGCCGAAAACGCGGCGCGACACAAAGAAATAAATAGGTTAGCGTGGGAAGAATATATTTTACTTTTTGCCAAATTTACGAAACTTTTAACAAATATATATTACAATAACTGTAGCATTTTAAGTTTAGCATTTTTAATCATAAATTTTTTCACAAGCAATTAGCAATAAAAGAGACCTAGTGATCCACATCGAACTCATACTTCAAGATTGTACTTTGTTTTGAAGATTGGAAAGATTTCCGACACCTTAAACTTTTGGTTAAAATAAAAGAAGAAAAATGGTTAAGAATAACTTTACTTTAATTTAACAAATTGATGAATTCCGATGTGGATCTTTCGCTCAGATTTGGTAAGGTCTTTCAAAAAACGAATTTACCTTTGGTTTGGTCAATTTTCCAATGAAAATATTAACGAATCCCTTAAAAGAATTTAGGTGTTGCATTTATATTTTTCGGGAAAGAAAAAGACCAAAATATATCGGGAATTTCAAAGATTTTAGGGTAGTTCAGTCTGAAAACGCAAATAATTTTGGTTTTCCAAATTTGCGAATGAAAATATCACATGAATAACAGTGTAAAATAAAGAAAATGAAATAAATTTACATATTAAATTAAGCATATTTTTTGTGAGAAGAAAAAGTGCAAAATAGGTCGATGAAATTCAACGATTTTAGGGTAGTTCAGTTTGAAAACGTAAATAATTTTGGTTTTCCCAATTTGCAAACGAAAATATTACATGAACATCCGCGTAAAATGAAGAAAATTAAATAATTTTACAAATTAAATTAATAATAATGATTGGGGGAAAGAAAAAGTCCAATAGGAGTCGATTAATTTCCACGATTTAAATAGGTCTCCAATCAGAAAACGCAAATATTTTTGTCCCTATTTACAAATGAAAATATTACATGATTTTCAATGTAAATTAAAGAAAATGAAATAACTTTACATATTAAATTAACCATATTTTTTGAGGAAAGAAAAATGTCAAAATAGGTCGATGAATTTCCATGATTTTAGGATAGTTCAGTTTGAAAACGAAATAATTTTGATTTTCCCAATGTGCGAACGAAAATATTATATGAATATCAGAGTAAAATAAAGAAAATTAAATAAATTTACAAATTAAATTAATAATAATTATTCGGGGAAAGAAAAAGTCCAAAAGGAGTCGATGAATTTACATGAGTTAAAAGGGTTGTACAATCAGAAAACGAAAATATTGTCCCTATTTACAAATAAAAATATTACATGAATGTTAATGTAAAATAAAGAAAATGAAATAAATTTACATATTAAATTAAGCATGTTTTTTGTGAGAAGAAAAAGTCCAAAATAGATCGATGAATTTCATCGATTTTAGGGTAGTTCAGTCTGAAAACGCAAATGATTTTAAAATTAAATTTTTAAATAAAATAAAATAAATTTATATATTAAATTAAGCATATTTTTTAGGGAAAGAAAAAAAAGCCAAAAGAAGTCGATGAATTTCCACGATTTTTGTGTGGTTTAGTCAGAAAACTCAAATATTAGTAATAATAATAAAAAGTAATAAAAGTAGTAAATACATTAGTAATTTAGGGTGTAAATAGTCGAGAGCTTATGACCTGAGCTAAAGTCAATATCACAATGTGTAAATCAGAACTGATATATTTTGGATTGGATGTTAATGGGAAAGTAATTAGATAAAATGGTTAGGGATGGTCACCTCAAATGAGTAGATGGATTTCGAAAAATGGCATTTTTTGTTTTGCCTATTTGCAGAAATATTACAAACGGATGTTAAACCATTAAACGTCATTGTAATTGATGTCTAATCAATAGTGCCTGTATTTCACCGTTAAACGTACTCAAATTAGGTGAAAGTTGGTTCATACGTTAATTTTTTACAACCTTAACTCTTTCCTAACTTCCCGTTCGTTGTACTTGAAAGGTCTGCAGGAAGTTACAAACGAATTGCATAAGGCAACTATTCTCGCTTCAAGCCAAGTGTATCAATAAGAATTCAGCAATACAAAATTTTAAGAAATCAAGACAATATTCTAGATATACTGGGAGATTTGTAACGGAAGAAAAACATAGTTTATTATGAAGTCAATAATTAAAGCTGTTAAGAAATTTTTGTAAAAAATTAGTTTTAATGACACGATAAAAACTGGATCCCGATTTTTCTTATTACAATAGTGAAGACTTGTTTCTATTCGTTCCTGTCACACTACACCTTGGAAGAATTGATGAAAATTTCTCCTTTGATAAAAGGTCCGTGTAAGCTAAATTCTATTTGAATTATATGATCCGTTAAATATAAAAATTTAATGGATAATGAACTGATGAAGCATGACCACGTGAATCTATATTCCCAATTCTTGGGTAAACGCGACATTCCTGATTGAAATTTACTCTTCAATCGGATCATTTGAAAACTTGGCCCATTTTCCATCTTTCTACACATACTCGTACGTTCTCATATCTGATTCAATTGGTGTGTATTGATTCTCTAGTAGGCGGAGGCCAAGATTATTTGTTCGGGGTTGTAACCTCCTTGTATCGATCTTTGTGAAATGCTATACTAAAACGTGGAGGCTGGAATGCTGGAGCCTCTCGTTGCCTTTTTTTCCCATAAGAAACCGCGGAAAATTGAACAATTCGAAATTGACACCGGCAAAAATGACTTGAAAAAGAGCATAATGAATGGGAGAGAGAGAAAGAGTTAGAGTGAGAGTTATAAACGATTGAAATTTAATTTCATTCAGGTCCGAGCTATTTTTACAATGGTTTTCAACAAATTATGACAATACATTTCCACGAGACATTAGTTTGGCATGGCAATTTCAATTTAAATCATTATCGAATTATTCAAATTTACGAGAAATAGGTGATATAAATGCATCAAAGTGAATAAACACATGTGGGAAACCACAGATTATTGTGGTATTAGTAAAAATTGTTAAACCCTGCGAGGCTATGTTGGTTGATGATAGACAACATAAATAATTAATGAAATAATGAGATTTCATATTGAGTCTGGTCGTATCCCAATATTTGACCAGGCAATCGAAGGTGTTTTAGTCTGTCAGACGCTTTCGACTTCTCCCCATATTAAGTGCTTCAGTGTACCGGCCTCTCCCTGCTTATAACCTTGATGTCACGGACTGAAGACGGCGAATGCCTAAACGCCCGCAGAAATAACGAAGATCGACCAGAACGACCGGAAAAGAAGGAAACAACGAACAAATGGTGTTTAAGACAATTTACCTCACAACGAAACAAAAATTATAATATAATTTAAATTAATTAAGGTTTTTAGTCGAGATAAAAAAGTCAGTGCCACGAGCGGGATTCGAACCCACGACCTTCGGCTAAATACGCCGCTGCTCTACCAATTGACTCGTGGCTTCGATCTACTCTGACCCTAACTTCCCATCTTTGTGTATTCAGCTAAACCTTAATTAATTGAATGATATTAATTGGTCAAGCGGACCACGAAAACTAGTGAATGTAATTTAAAGCCAAATTAGAAAAATGTCAACTACATAAAATGAAAAGCCGTACGGCTGGCAAAACACACTCAAAGTTCATTAAAAGTAATGTGCAACATTGACACGTCATTTTGGCAGAAACAAAACACCAAAGTTAGCGTACCAAATTCACAAATTTGTAACGTGTGAAATATTTACTTAAATTCACCAAAAATGCACTAGGTTAACCACGATTAGTTCCAGTTTCAAAGCTGAGCTAAAGAACGTTAGCTACAGAAAATATCTAATTACAAAAAAAAACTTTTTTTGAGTAAGGAATATTGAGGAGGTACGATCAATGAATAGATTTGAATTTTATTTCTGAGCATCGTTTTAAGAGTAGGTTTTTTTTTAAACTTCGTAAATAAGGTTTTATACGACTGCGTTTATAAGACTCGCTCGCAGAGTTTCCACCCGAGGAAGAAGCCTTTTTTGGACAAACCGCAGACCTTTCCTCCCCAATATCTACTTACACTTCTTGCTAAGGCCAATAACGACATTGCAGTTACTCACCCACTAGAGAACCGAACGTGTGGAGAGCCAAGATGGAGATAAGCGGCAGAAGCGACAACCGCATAGCTCCCTCCCTCATGTCCACACCACGTCTCCTTCCTGAAAAAAAAAATGCAAAACGTTATCTTCTTATATTACAAATTTCATTTAACAAAGTAGTTCAATAAACAAAAAAGGTAAATTGAATGGTCAACTGTATGCCCGTTTGTAAGAAGTGTCGAACATGAGAAACAGGACGAAGAACTGAGCTGTGGCTCAGTTATCGTCCGATTTAGAGTCAGGTGGTCTGACAAACTGAAGTCAAAACTCAGTTTTTCATCTTTTTTTTAATTGTGTCAGTTTTTCCTTGACGTTGTTGGTGGGATGAATCGGTCGCAAGCTAATATTTTCCTTATTTGGAGATCGTGAGATGCGGTCTGGTGTGACGTAGGTTTTAGAAAAACATTTTCTTTATCATGCCAACGCTTCGATCTTTATTGAGATCATCTTCAGGGCTCAAAGTGTTTATTTTCTGTGTAGATGTGTCATTATTGTGTGTCGAGTTGAGAAGGCACATGCCACATACTTTTTGTGATTAGCACATCATAACACTGAAAGGAGAACTGACATAACTGAAAGCAATGTGGAAAGACTAGAGGAAAAACTGAGCTGTGGCCTCTACTACTCAGTTGAGTTTGTCTTTCAGTTCTTTCTTCCGATCTGGATTCAGTTAAACTGACAGATAATCTGAACATAAATGGGAGCCCTAAAAATGGAAAAACGGTATAAAAACTGAGCTGTGTTAAATATGCTTAGTTCATTTAATCGTTCAGTTTATCCTTTTGTTAAGGTTTCTGGCAAACTGACAGATAAACTGAGCATGTATGGAGGCCCTAAAAATGGAAAAACTTTATAAAAAACTGATCTGTGCTACATATGCTTAGTTCATTTAAAAGTTCAAGTTATCCTTTTGTGTAGGTTTCTGGAAAACTGACAGATAAACTGAGCATCTAGTGGCCTTAAAAATGGAAAAACTATATGAAAAAACCGAGCTGTGCTACATATGCTTGGTTCATTCAATCGTTCAGTTTATCCTTTTGTGAAGGTTTCTGGCAAACTGACAGATAAACTGAGCATGTATGGGGTCCTAAAAATGGAAAACTGTATTAAAAACTGAGCTGTGCTACATATGCTTAGTTCATTTAATCGTTCAGTTTATCCTTTTATTAAGGTTTCTGGCAAACTGACAGTTAAACTGAGCAGGTATGGCGCCCTAAAAATGTAGTAACTGGTCGAAAACTGAGATTTGGCTACAAAAGTCGGTTTGGTTAGGTTCAGTGATTTTGGATATGGACTCGGTTAAATCGAGTGTGTTTGAGCTCCAAAAATGAAGAAACCGAGCAAAAAACTGACGGTTAAACTGAGCACGTATAGCGCCCTAAAAATGTAGTAACTGATCGAAAACTGAGATGTGGCTACAAAAGCTCAGTTTGGTTAGGTTCAGTGATTTTGATATGGACTAGGTTAAATCGAGTTTGAGCCCTAAATGAAGAAACCGGGCATAAAACTGACAGATAAACTGAGTGTGTTTGAACAACTAAAAAACGAGAAACAAACAATAAACTGATCAACTCAGTTTAGTCGATCGGTCAGTTTATATTTATCGGTCTGATAAATAGGGCCCTAAAAATGGTGCAACCGAACGAAAAACTGAACTGTGTCTACATAAGCTCAGTTCACTTAATCGTTAAGTTTATCCTTTCGTTCAGGATTCACAAAACTATTCACATAAAATATACATTTTAAGCCTATTATTTGGGAATTCTACATAAATTAAAGGCTGTCAAGTAAAATAAAGGTCTGAAACCCATTAAGCACTGGAAATTGTTCCAAAAGTCTACAAATGAATAGTATTATAGTGAGTTAACATTTAAAAGGAAAGATTAAGAATAACATTTAGAAAGAGCCATTTAGATAAAAACATTTCTTAAACTTAGCTTGGTGTGTATTCTATGAAATTATCAGTTCAACATTAAATTTTATCAATTTACTATATAAAAAAAATTTACTTTCGTATTTTTTTATTTAATACATTTAAAAAGAACGGTTTCGTGCTTGCCCAACAGCCGCGTTTCCAATTAAAACTTAGGTTAATTGAGCTCCTAATTAGTAATAACTGGAATTATCGCACATGGTGAATCATTAGTAACGCCTTACTAGTATAACCTCGCATCGATATCGGTCTTTTGCTAAACTCAGTTTCAATTATCACACAAATTATAATTTATGGTAAATAAAATTACTTGAATTTCTTTTTTACTATAAAACATATTATAGAGAGTACGCATAATACTAAGAAATGTAATTGCGTAATGTAAATATTATTCTGCACAGAGAAAAAATTAATTGTTCATTAAAAAGATCGTTGGTGAGTTTAAAATTGCCAGTGTGAAATATGGTTACAATATTAATGATAAATTCAGCGCAATCTTAACTATGAATTAAACGTCTACGTATAACACACGAAAGAGTCAACGTGGTGATGAACCTTTTTGCCATCTTCAGCGTAATGAAAATTGAGAAACGACGTAAAAGCGAGCTGTAACCTGCTTTGTTCAGTTTATCCCCAAATGGAGAAAATGGAACGAAAGACCGAGCTATGACCTACAGACAGTTGAGTTGTCTTTCAGTTATTTTTTTTTTCGATCTGGATTCAGGTAAACTGAGCATGCATGGGGTTCGAAAAATGGAGGAACTGGCTAAATTTTTTTCTTTCAGTTAAGAAACTGAGCCGTTTTCAATGTTAGAAGTATCACACCACTTTTTCACTCCTGAATGCTCTGGATCAAGGTACGGTCTTGAAGAAAAAGGCAAATTAAGTTTTTACTGCTAAGAGTTCGACCTATTTTACCATAATCAGAGCAAAACAATCTTAAATATAACAGTATAAATACAATGTAACCAATTTTTCTTCAAGACCATATCTTGATCAAAGGTTCATGTGGCAAACTGAGCTACATTCGCTTAGTTCAGTTCGTCGTTCAGTCTATTCAAATCTAGATTGAGACAAACATACAGATACACTGAGCAATTTTCTAAAAATGGTACAACTAGACGAAAACTGAGCTGTAGCTACATACACTCAGTTTCTTTATCCTTTCGTTCAGGATTCAGATAAACTGAGGAAAGTTAAAAGCCTTCATGTACCACAGGTAAGAGCTTTTCGCCATCTTCAGCGGTTGGTCTGTGTTCCTGCCACTCCCTGCTTATATCCTCGATGACATTGTCTGACATACCAAAACGGCGAGAATAGGCAGGCCAAATTTATCGGAAATGACAATGTTGAAGTTGTTTCGAGGGCGATTAGGGCATTAGAAGAATTACAAATCCCTCATAAAAGTAAAAAAGTCTAGACAGTTTTAATTCATAATTTGAAGAATAATCCGTGTATATTAAAAATAAATAAATAAATTGTGTGTGCTAACTTTAGCAATGCAGCACAATTCTAAATTAAAACAGCAAAGCATAAAATTTAAATTATAAATAATTCAGGTGTAGTTAACTTTTATGTTAAAGGAAATATTTATTGAGGAGAGTGGCTATGACTCGCTTAGGCCTCCCAGGGGGCAATTCCTCCAAATTGACAAAATTATATTTGTTAAGGGTCCTTTATCGAAAAATATTAAGTAGAACTGAGAATAATGACTTTATTTAAATGTGTAATTGAATGTTAAATCAATTCAAAATTATCGCCTTCTGTACTTTTATTCCGTGCATGACGAAAGGACCCCAGACATGGACATAAGCGATAAACAATGACACTACATAACGCTTTATCGACTGGCAAGAGAGAGAAAAAAACCATGACGTGCGATTTTGATTTGTGAAACTGCGAACTACACCCAATTTAAGTAATAGGCTTTTACTTAAATGATGTTATGAAAGAAAATTGTTACCATCTAGACAGTGATAAATATAAACGATCCGAAGTAACGATTTATTAAAAGAAACTGGACCAGTTGAATACGATGTTTGTAATCGGGAAAATGGTAGCGTGTCCAAGGACTGGGCATGAATTACCATAAGTGGGCCGGAGAAAATAAAAAAGGCGCCAGGAATATATATGTATCGGGAAAGTTTCATCTTGGACTGGAGAAGATAATAGACCAACGATAGAGCTCTGGAAAAATACAAAGATAAGTAGAAGCAATTTATTCCCCTTATAAATCCAAACATTAATTATTAATATCGTATTAATAGTTAATTGGTTGTTTTCTTCTTATTTTAGTTATTGCATAAAAATATTCAGTAGTTTAAATAAATGAATACATTTTGATAAAAAACTGATATTTGAATTAGAATATATATTCGTTCATTTTTTTGATGATGATGATTCGTTTATCAGCATTTGCAAGCACAATGAGAGGGAGGGAAGGGGGTAAACGGAGGGAGAGGGAAAGAGAAGAGAGGAGAAAGAAAGAGAGAGAAAAAGAGAAAAGAAAAAGAGAAAGACAGAGAGGAGTGAAAGCGAGAGAAAAAGAAAGAGTGAGAGAAGAGAAAGGGAGACAAAAGAGAGAAAAGAGAAACGGAGTAAGAAGAGAAATAAGTGAAGAAAAGTAGAGAGAATGAGAAAGGAGAGAAAGGGAAGAAAAGAGGAGGGAGTGCGACGGGACAGAAGGAGAGAAAAGGAGAAGAGAGAACGAGAGAGAGAAAGAACGAGAGAGAGAAAAAGATAAGAGAAAGCGATAGTGAAAGAGAGAGAGAGAAAGAGAGAGAGAGGGGAGGGAGGAGTGAGGGCGAGAGAGAAAAGAGATAAGAGAAGAGAAAAGGGAGAGCAAAAGAGAAAGAGGGAGAGCAAAAGAGAAAGAGAGAGAGAGAGAGAAAAAAAGAGGTAAGAGAAACGGAGTAAGAAGATAAAATAAATAAAATAAAATAGTGAGAGTGTGAAAGGAGAGAAGGGGAAGGAAAGAGGAGGGAGAGCGAGGGGAGAGAGAAAGAGAGATAAGAGAAGATAAAGAAAGAGAGAGATAGAAAAAAGAGAAAGAAGAGAAGAGTATAGAGAGAGCGAGAGATAAGAGAAGAGAAATAAAGCGATAGAAGAAATAGATAGATAGAAGAGAAAGAGAGATAGACGAGAGATAAGAAAAGAGAGAAAGAAGAGAGAGCAAGGAGAGACAGAAAAAAAGACAGAAGAGAGAAAAGAAAAGAGAAAGAAAGGAAGAAAAAGAGAACGAATGATTTTTCATATGTCGCCGAAACAGAAGAGTCTGAAATGTTTACACCCACCATTGTTGTCTATGCGTTATTTTTTTACGTCACTTGGTATATTTGATTTAATTAATGTATAAATAATATATAACATAAAATAATGTATAAATAAGACGAAAATTACGGAAGTTTCTGGAAAAAAATGCATATAAAATAAACTTAAGTTGGAATTTGAACTTTGCAGTTGGTTTACGATCGTGTGATCAATGATTTAAAACCTAGATATTTAAATTAGTACAGAAAAATTTCCACTGGCCTCCCCCCAAACAAAAGTGAGAGAAAAAAAACAATTGCGGAATGTATCAAGTTTAAGACTCATACCTGAAAAAACCGAAGACAGCGGCCAAGACAAATTACTACCGCTACAGAAAAGCGATTAAACTTACGTTTAAGGTCCGTCAACTGGGCAATGATATTTCAATAGCAACTTGAGGATATTGGGTGTGAATGGTTTCTGCCAGGGGGGAAACCTCAGTACATATGCTGTATGTACTTTGAAGGTTAAATTAAAAACAATTATGGTCATATAGGCAAAAATAAATGTTAATTCTAGTAAAGAAAGTGAGAAGCTACTATCTATTAAGCCATAGCATGTAGAATGCTAACAAAAATCAAAAATTTTGAGATTTCGTCATGAAATATGCAGGGTGATGAACCTGTAATCATTTCTGATTATTTGGTCCTCCTATCTTGGCTGATTTGGTTCTCAGATGCTTTTTAGCTTTTCTCCAGCTCTAACCGATCTGAAACGTCCAGAATACAAAAGCATGAATCTAGTTGTGTGCAATAACCGCAGAGGGCAATAGTCATACTTGATGGACGCAGTGCCAAAGTCTCTTTTTTAGAGCCAGCTCCGAAACAAATCCTAAATCATAAACGTCCGAGAGACAATTATACCGCCGTATAATTAGAATTTTCACGTGCAATCTTTATTCGGATTATTTAAGGAAGAGAAAGAGCAAGATAACCACTCAGCGGTATTTACACATGACCAACTGCTACACTTTCTAATTTCGCTCAGAATTAATTAATTTTCGCCTACAGGAGAAATAATTCAGTTGTGATTAGTAGTTATATTAAAAATAAACAGCGTAAGGGTGAAGTAACTGTAGTTAAGGTATGATCAAATAGATATTTCTGTATATTTACTAACCAGAAATAATCTAAGGTCATACCTACTCGTTTTAAACTTTCGCCCTATATATGCCTTAATCTTAATTAATAACATCAAATTTAATATTAACTAGTTTTCAGCGGTGTAGCTATAGTTTAAGGGAAACATGTAATAAGATTTCTCTCTATTAAAAAGAAAGTCAAACGTACATTTTTAGTTATCGTTCAGCTGTCATTTAGTTTTTCACGTATACTTATACAACCTATAATTGTTTGGAGGCTTTTAAGAGGCAAATGTACTATCAAAACACTTTATCGGGGTGAAACAGTGTGTAACAAGTGTCCGAGTAATTATGGTACACCAACCAGTTGGGGAGGCACTAGACTGTACACTATAAGGAGACCAATGCCGCAAGTTCAATGCCTTCATCTCGTTAGTAAAAGACTCTGCATCCCTAGTGGCTCAATCAATTGCACAATTTGCGTGTAAACTTCGAGATGATAATTGGGTACAACAATTTGATACAACCGTTTAACAACACCGCTTAACCGAGAACTGACTGGAAAAAACATTCCAATTTTTTCCCTCAATTATGTAAAGGGCTTAAATGTTAAAATTTGTATAGTAGAAGAATAATCAACAGCGATTCTAGTAAGGGAAAGATGAATTATTAGAAATTTTTATACCTAAATCAGCCTAAACCCTTTCAAATTACAAAATACAATATATTTACTTGTTAAGGTTTAATTATTTTTTATAACTTTTTCTTCCAAAAATATATTAAGAAATCGACCGACCCTTCCGATCTCTTATTAAACATTTGCACTTTACTTCTGTAGCATTTTCTCGTACATTTAAAAGCTTAAACAATTACACTTTGTAAAATAAAACACCCAGGCTGGAATTTTTCAAAGTAAATATATCGAAGAGAGTTTATTTTTTCGACGAGAATAACTTCCTATTAATCTGGATTTTGTTTGTTTCATTTCGGGAGGGGTCGCGGCTTTTTGCATTCCGAACGGTCCTAGACCGGATAACCAAAAATTGTGGTCAAATCCGAAATAAGCATGGAGAATTTGGTGAAAAAATTGCTTTTTGACGGGTGTATAGACACAAGTGGCATTTAGTCCTAAAGTTGTGAAAACATATCCAAACATACATTATCAACGCTAAATAATCAAAACCTCATCTTGAGATTGACATTTGTAAAAAATGTTTCGATAGTTATTGTCTCCCTCTTCCTCTTTTATTTGAAAAGTGATGGTACAAAGAATATATAAAAATTACAGCTAACCATAATATCATGTTACGTGTACGAAACGTCTTAGAGACAAAACTTTTGCTTGTATCAATCATTCTCATGCTATTTCTATCTCTTTCTCACTCTCTCTCATCTCTCCTCTCTCTCTGTTTCGCTTCTGCCTCTCTTTCTCTTCTCTACTATCCTCTTCGGTCTCATTTTCTCTCTTCCCACGTTAAGTGGTAGAATGTACCACGAAACCTAACTTCGCGTGGTAAAAAAAAAAAAATACCATCATCATTATCTCTTCTCTTCCACTCTCTCTCTCTCACTCACTCTCTCTTTCAAGTGGAAGAAAGATCCACGAAAACTAACTTTGCGTGGTTAAATAAAACATTTGATGAAACAACCGATCTCTCTTACGTATATTTCTCTTCTTTTACCTCTCTCAGGTTAAGTCCTAGAAAGGTCAACGAGTCCTAACTCCGCGTGATAAAATAAAACACGTCAATGTCATCATCATCATATTTTCTCTCTTTCATCATTTATCTTTCTTCTCGTATCTCTGTCATGGCACTCTTTCTTTTCTCTTCTCTCTCTTTTCCTCTTCTCTTATCTCACTTAAGTATTTTTCCTTTCTCTTACCTCTCTCTCTCTCTTATATGTCTCTTTCTCTCTTTCCACTTGAAGTGGTAGAAAGATCCACGAGACCTAACTTTGCGTGGTGAAATAGATATGTCATCATCATCTTTTCTCTCTCTCATCATTTATCTCTCTTCTCTTATCTCTGTCATAGCACTCTTTCTTTACTCTTCTCTCTCTTTTCGTCTTCTCTTATCTCACTTAAGTATTTTTTCCTTTCTCTTACCTCTCTCTCTCTTTCTTATATGTCTCTTTCCATTTTAAGTGGTACAAAGATCAACGAAACCTAACTTTGCGTGGTAAAATAGATATGTCATCATCATCATCGACTCTCTCTCTCTCTCTCTCTCTCTCTCTCTCTCTCTCTCTCTCTCTCTCTCTCTCTCTCTGTCTTTCCCCCTCGTGCTCTCTCTCCATCCATTCTTCCTCACTCCGACATTTTGCACATGCACATTTTTAAAAAAATCAACAAATCGAAAAATCGAAAGGAACGATAAGTTTGTTTGTGGTAATTACCATTCCAGAGATATGAATAGTCTGACCAACCTGAGTTTCGTTTCTCAACGTGGTTAAGCCAAAATCAAAAAATCAGAATCTTTCGGCTCAACGAAAAATAACGGCGAGGTTAAGCGGACCAGAGAAGAACCGTTTTGAAAGAGAAATTTTACTAAAACGGTTCATCTCCTTGCAAACCTATGTCAGTTCGGAAAAATATCAAAATAAATTTTCGTCGTTGTAAATGTAGTCGGAATCGTAGCGCAATCCAAAGCGATAATTTTTTACCTGAAAACAAATATCAACATTGTTCTTGAGATAACGTTTAAGACGACAATTTCAATGCAATTTTTTTCCTCTTCTCGGTGAACAAACCACTGAGACAACGAAACGTCTCGTGGTGTTTATATCATGGGAAAAACATCGGTTTGAGTTTGTTGCGACTGTTATCGTTAATTTTTCAATATATATTTTTTTACATTAAACTAGTAGGTTGTTGTATCAGTGTCGAAAGCGGAAAACTACCGGTTTTCCTGCTGCAATAACCACACTGTAAAAAAACATTTCTCACCCTAATCTCTTTTATTCCTCAATATCCCATTCTGCAATAAGTTTTTGAAATTTGAACCATTTTAGTTAATTGACGATAAGTTTCAATGGGAAAGAACACAGCTTTACGGACTTTTAACGTTAGCATCACAAGGAAAAAAGAAAGTGCTCTTAAAAAGCAAGTCCCAGTTACATTTAAAAAAGCACCTTCTACAACAGAAAACTTTACACGGGCTGGTTTCTCACAGTTATTTAAAACAAAACGATTCATATTCAATAATAATTTCACGAAATACGGTGCAAGAAAAATTATTCCTTGGCATGGGAATTATAAATTATTTACCTGAAATACATTTTCTCAGGTTGGATCAAATAAAATTTTTTTTTGTTTCTCAACTTTATTAGTGCTTGATGTCTAGAAATGGTAAAGTCCGCGAAGGCGCGTTGGTAGGAGGGGAAAAAGAATTAAAAAACCACCAGTTGCTCTTTAATTGTTCGGCGATTGTCAGATTTTCCATTTCCACCCATTTTTTCCCATTCGACATCCAAAGAGATCCGACAATAGAAACTAAAATAAAATGGGCAGAGAAAGTGGCTAAGGTGTGCGGAGTCCCCACCTAAGCTCGCCGGAAGTACTGACAGGAAACGAGCTCATAGTAATTTCATGTCCTACGGACTTTTTTCATTCACAGTATTTCACCATTGGGAAAATCCATTAAGTGGTGGTCTGGTTGGAATTCGAAGAGTACGGGAATACAGGCTGTAAGGAAAAGACAAACACGGATCTGTTACTTACCGGAGAATCTTGCTAAAAATCTGTAGAAGCTAGAGACGAGTCTGTCACTAAAAGTCCTTCCCATAAGATACATCTTTCCCATATCGCGATTTACCAAAACAAATCCATTTCAACTTATGTCACTTCGACACTGAACATAATGCACAACGGTAACAGACACATCGCAGGAGGGAAGAAGGCAGTCCCTCTCACATGCTCACTGATTATTCACCAAAACTCTGTTTTATCGATTGTAAAAAAAAGATTGGTAAAATACGAGTCACTTTGGTCGGAAAAGCACAGCGCGACATACACTCCTCAAAGGCTCGTTCGGTTCTGTTTAGCAAGAGGTGGGGTCGGCCGACGTCGGCTAGTCAGGGGGAGGACGAAGGTGGCCGAGTGAAAACCGAAGGCGGCTCACGCTTTTGTCATTCCTTTGATTAATCCCGCCTAGGCCCGATTAAATACCATCTTTTGTTTTCTCCCGTAATTATACCATTTGCGACGTTAGAGCTACCGGGGAAAATCGGGGAAACCAGACAGCCCGTTGTCATGGGCACAAGACGACACAGATTACATGAATGCCTGTCTTCAAAGCGCCGCTTACTTTATCTGTAGGTTCGGCTGAATCCGGTTTAGAAAAATAAACTGAACGATTAACTAAACTTACACTAAAAACTGCAGCCATACCTTAATTTTTCCAATTTTAATGATCAGTCTTATCTGTCAGTTTACCCGAGTCCTCATCGGAAGAGCGAACTAAAATAACCACAACTCACGTTGTATGTCCAGTTTTGCAACAGTTCAATTTTTCGTCCGATTTCACCGTTTTTACCCCTCGGTCAGTGTTCTCGGTTTGCATGAATCCAGAATGAAAGAAGTAACGGAGTGAACCAACAGCTCAGTTTGTGATCAGTTCTCCATTTTTCGGCACCTATACACATTCGGTTTATTTGGCAGTTTACCTGAAGATTGATCAAAAGAATAGTGCAAGACTAGTAGCAGTTCAGTTTATCGTGGTTTTCAATTTTTATGGCCCCCATTTATCCCTGTTTCTTGAATCCAGATTTGAAGAAGTAATTAAGACTGTGAACCAACAGCTCAGTTTTGTCCAGTTTCTCAATTTTTTGAGCCCTACACACGTTCGGTTTTGTCTGTCAGTTTGCCTGAATCTTGATTGGGAAAATAAACTGAACTGAGTATGTGTAGCAAGTTCTTTTTTTGGCCCAGTTTCTACATTTTTATGGGCATACACACGTTCGGTTTATCTGGCGGTTTATCTGGCAGTTTATCTGAATCTTGATCATAAGAATAAGTTGTACTGTGCATGACTAGTAGTACTTCATTTTTTAGTCGTTTTCAATTTTTATGGCCCCAATTTATCTCTGTTTCTTGAATCTGGATTGGAAGAAGTAATTGAATCTGTGGACCAACAGCTCAGTTTTGTCCAGTTTCTCAATTTTTTGAGCCCTATGCACGTTCGGTTTTATCTGTCAGTGTACCTGAATCTTGATCGAGAAAATAAACTCACCTGTGCATGTGTAACAAGAGTTCTTTTTTGGTCTAGTTTCTCTATTTTTCGAGACATACACACTGGTTTATCTGCCAGTTTACCTGAATCTTGATCATAAGAATAAGCTGAACTGTGCATGACTAGTAGCGGTTCATTTTTTCGTCGTTTTCAATTTTTATGGCCCCAATTTATCTCTGTTTCTTGAATCCGGATTGGAAGAAGTAATTGAGTTTGTGGACCAGAGAGCTCAGTTTTTGTCCAGTTTCTCGAGTTTGTGGACCAGAGAGCTCAGTTTTTGTCCAGTTTCTCAATGTTTTTGGCCCTAAACACGTTCGGTTTTGTCTGCTAGTTTATCTGAATCTTGATAGCGAAAATAAACTGACCTGAGCATGTGTAGCAAGAGTTCTTTTTTGGTTTCGTTTCTCCATTTTTCGGGACTTATACACTTGATCATAAGAATAAGCTGAACTGTGCATGATTTCATGCACAGATAAAATTGATCAGTTCATTTTTTCGTAGTTTTCAATTTTTATGGCCCCCATTCATCCATGTTTGCATGAATTTAGAATGAAAGAAGTTGCTTAGTGTGTGGACAACAGCTCAGTTTTTGTTCAGTTTCTCCACTTTTAAGACACCATACTTATTCAGTTTTGTCAGTTGGCCTGAATCCGGAACGGGAGAAAACCTGACGAACAACTAAACTGAGTGTTTGAGGACACAACTTAGTTTATTGTTTCGTTTCTAGATTTTTAATTACTCAAACGCTCTCAGTTTATTTGTCAGTTTGTTCCCCGGGTGCTTCACTTTTAGGGCTCAAACCCACTCGGTTTACCTGAGTCCAGAATAAAACAGTGAACCACCAACTACTCAGCATGTGTAGCCGCAGCACTGTTTTGTCCAGTTTCGCAATTTTTACTAGGTCAAATTAAGATCGACCCGAAACTCAATTCAATTCAAAAGGTTTGAACGCTCTTTATCCGGCAGTTTCCCTGGCTGAAGAATAACCGAACGATTAGCCGGACTGAGTATGTAGACAGATCGGTATTTCACCCGATACTTACTGCATATTTATGGCGCCATACATGCTCAATTTATTTGTCAGTTTGCTTGAATCTACATCGCAAGATAAAACTGAACGACAAACTTAATTGAGCGTGTATAGCAACATCTCTATTTTTCGTCCAGTTCCTTCATTTTTAGACCCATAGACACACTCAGTTTATCTGTCAGTTTGACTAAATTCAAATCCGAATGGATGAGCTGAAAAAAAAATCTGACCTGGGACTACACACGCTCAGTTCAATCTGTTTTTCAGCTACTTCTTCCGATCGGGATTCATACAAACTGAGAAGAACTGCTGCTGCACATGCTCACAGTTTTAAAAAACCTGTATTCATAGATTTTCGCCTTGATCGGTTTGTCAACGTTTATTTTAAAAAATAATTAAATGAAAATAATTCAGAATTTGACTCACACTGGTTGTTTATAGTCAACATTCCATCCAACACAGCTACAGCTGAGAACAGATAGTACAGTTTATCTTGACACCACACAAATCACAACCTAACTGCAGAATCAATTAGGAATACGTTGTGGGAGCTGCGGAAAAATCGACTATGGAAGATTTCCTTGAGGTGGGTCAAGCCTCGCGTGGGACACCAGGGAAATGAAAAAGCCGACGAGCTGGCGAAAGATGCGGCAAAAAAGGAAAACTTTGCTATTTCTTTTATGAAAGTACCTCTTTCCTACATTAAAACATTGGAAGAACAGCTAAGCTTACAAAAATGGATACGTGGATAAAGGCAGATGAGGGAATAATTACAAGAAGCTAATTTCCATCAGTTCATGACAGAAGGAACACCATCTTTGACCGCACCCACAAGACAACTATGGCACTTACGGGACACGGGAAAACAGAACATATCTGAAACGATGCACATCAGCGAAAATGCATACTGTTGTGGAGATGGGGAACAGACATGGTCGCACATCTAAGAGAGCAATAGGTTCTCCTTGATTAAGAGCATTCTGACGAGTGGAAGAACATGGCCAGAGGATGAAAACAGGTTAATCTGCCAATACAAAGAAGACTTCTGAGTTACGTTAATTGAATATCAATACGCTCTAAGAATTTATACTTAGAATAAGTATAGCATAAGTATAATAATTACATATAAAAATGTATACTTATAAGTAAATAAAATTACTTAATCTTGAACACTATAAATATATCTAAAGAACAGAAGAAAATATTGATGTAACAGAATACAAAGGTAGAGAAAACCTGTGATCATAATGGGAATGGATTAAAAGAAAAAACAATAAAGTTCTCCACTGCAGGGTTACTGTAGTGGGACGAAAAAATCCATCCATTAACAAAATTGGTGTCATGCCTTGGCTCCATACAGAGAGCGAGTAGGCATGCCGACAGATTTAAGAATGGTTCTCGGACACGGTAGCGAGTGTATTTATTAGAGTGAATGGTGGAATAGCATCCCCATCGCCCCTCGAGTTGTGTACTTGGGTCGATGGCGTAATATTTATAAAAGTACTTCATCTACCCCAGATGGTTACTGTATGCAAGTTAATGGAGGAATATTTAGTACTCCATCCACCAAATAGAATGAATGCGATGTATATAGGTGTGAAAGTATTTATTTGCGTGAATGCGTATCGAATGTGTGTTGCAACATTTCGCATGCCCTTTTAAAAAAATAGTAAATATCGACCTTTGCAGATTCACATTATTTATGGGTCAGAGATGTGGTCTAAATTGAACCAAGCATTTAATCAGGCGGAGATACAAGAGAGAAATTCAATTTAGACCTCATCCCAGACCATTTAATAATAAGAAAACTGTATTTATACTATTCCTAAAATAGTTCTTTCAGTTTTAAAATATATTATTTTATAATTACTGCATTTTAGGCTTTCTTCATTGTAGAAGTATAGCAGAAAAAATTTGTTATAGGTATGTATTAAATAACAGCTTATTTATAATTTGCAGTTTGGCCGTTTCCGATCGTTTCAGCTTGTCCTTGATGTTTTGGCCTGTTTTTTTCGGTTCTGATGTATTTCCCAGTCTCTAATTTACAATTTGTAGCGTTACAATAATAACGTACAAGCCCAACAATGAAGATGGCGAGAAGCCGAAACGCGTCTAACTGACCATAAAAGCGAGAATCGGCAGACCAAGAAACGGCCTACCTACAGGTCCGTCACCCCGCAATCCTCAAGATGAAATCTCAAAATTTATTTATAGTTTATATCTAATACGTATTTATTAATAAACTTATGCTTGTTTGAATTTAAATTTTAAAACGTGATTATATGGTCTATAGCGGAATTTTACTTTTATAATAGGATTTTATTTTAAATTTGATTTTGATTCAATCTCACCTATTATTAAAAATATGTAATACTTGCAAAGAATTTCGCGGAGGGTGCGGTCGGTCAAACCGACGGATCAAACAACCCGTATGAAAGTTAAAGTTAGGGGGGCATTGAAATACGCCGTCTAGCCGAGTCTCTTGCCAACAAGTGGCTCCGGCCTGAACGCTATTAATTTATTAGCGGACTTTCGTATTTGTTCGGCCCCGTTCGGCATCAATGAAGATCATCGCTTATCTGACAGGGAAATCGGAAATGCGTAATTCGGCCACTTTGAACCACGGCAGTCTGGGTTTTAACGCGATCCCCCGAAGACACGCCGTGAGTCAGCGGACCTGTCAAGAAACTGATATAACCGTCCGGCTATAACGAGAGAGCTAAAAATGTGACTGAATCGGACTAGAAATATCCATTTACACCTTTCTCAA